AACATTAAAGAGTTGGTATATTTAATAAAAGCAAGATTGCTCAGTTGGACAAAAGTACCCAACCTTCCACCTTCATCATAAATAATTTAATTAGTCATAAATGTTTTATGATGAATTATTTTTAAAAATGAAATAAAAAATAAAATACAATGATGTGTTCCTGCCTAACTCAAACATCGCGTGACTTTAAAAGCTGACTTTAAAAAATGGTTAAGATGGGAGAAAATCACCTTGTTCTTACAAGCGGCTCTGTTAAGCAGTTTGTGTTAACACAACACAACTTTATCTGCCAGTGAAAAAAATGACTGCGGGCACTTTTCCTTCCCCCTTATATTCTCATGACCGAGTAGAATAGGCGAACCTTGCAATGAAAGACAGGTTCCCTTTGCCCAAGACTGGCAGGAAACAGTTGAAAATCGCCACACCCAGACTGTAAACTCAATCTACTTTTTTTAATAGCCTTGACTAGCTTCTTTGACTAGCTTTCAGAGAAAGTAATTGCCCTTCCCGCTGCTTGTCTCACCTGTTCCCATTTATAACCATTCTGTGTCTGAATCATAGCAGGTTACAGGCTCTGTGTCATTTGTTCACAAATTTATTGACATCTGAAACATCGTGTCTCATAGTTGTTTTAATAAGCAAAGGTTATGAAAACTAAAGAAAAAAATGATTGAACAAGATACAAGAAGCTTGAAATTATTACTATTAAATTAATACTGTTAATAATGACCAGATACATTATTATAGTTTCAGTGGTATTTTTAATACCGCTTTGTTATTCTAATTACAATATATACGATTTTATTTTAAGGCTTGAGGCATCTGTTAAATTGCCCCACTGAATAAAGTGTTTTGAATTAAACTGGTTGAACAGTTGACAGTATTCACATTTGCTAGTTCACATTTTTATTTAATTATTCATATAACTTAACATTGAATATGTTATGGAACAAGTAATAGGTTTATTCCATGCTGAAAAGAGAAGAAAGAAAACACAATGTTTCTTTTACTGTGATAACGAGTGCACGTATTCATGGAAAAGGTTAATCACTTAAATCACTTAACTTTGAGCATGTTGTGATATTTAGAAATACCTACAAATTCAATATAGTGTTGATAATATTTACTATTTTAGTTTTTCAAAGAAATGTTTGTTAGAAGAAAACTCATGGTAACAGCTGGGTTCGAACCCCTGACCTCCAGCATGCAAGGCACACACCTTAGCCATTACACCAATGTGCGCTTAACAACTTTAAAACTGTACATTATGTTCTCCATTACCACTATAAGAACGATACAAGCTGTCAAAAAGAATGTCAAACTGTTTCCAAAACATCCAAAATGTTTCCAAAATATTTTAGCTGCTTAGTTACACAACTTCATATTAATATTACTATGTATTAAATCAGTACAACACCCCTTCAAGAAAATAATGAGGACTGGGTTAAATATCCTGATGGGGCATATCCAGATTGGGGGGGGTGTTAACTAGCCCTTTGGGAAAAAGGGGACAAAACCCCAAGATAAAACTACTAATAAGCTGGTGTGCAGTTACTGTAAAATAAACAGGGCATTTTTGGGAAAATTGTAAGAAATAGAATTGATTTCACAGTTAAAGAACATGTCAAAAGCTGAAAAAAGAGCCTTGTGTGAAATAATAGATTAAAAAGATAAGAAACCACTTTGTTGCCTCCCTAAATTTATCTCAGGATTTAGTAAAAAACAAATAATCTTACAGTGTACAGTAAATGGTGTCCAGGTTCCCCTATTGGAGGACACAGGAGCACAGTTGTCCTGTTTATTGACCAAAACAGCAAAAGTATGTGATATAAAGTTTTCTAAAGGGTGGCAGGGGACTACAGGAGTAGGGGGGCAGGGGTTGTGTTTAAAGGAGATACAAGCTGTCACAATA